CAAGGCAATAAAAAGATTCAAACATTTTTTAAAAAAAGTAGCATTGGGATAGCAGAGCATCACACTGGATTCAGAAGGTAGAGGATCTCCAGGTACTCCAAACCTCTGCCTTCCTTGAGAGGTTTTATTTACAGGTATGAGGGCTGATCTGTCCTGTGTTTTTGGATTTCCCCTGTCCCTTGATTGACTGATTTATGTGTTTGTACGTAACACAGAGCAACAGAGAGAGAGAGAGAGAGAGAGAGAGAGAGAGAGAGAGAGAGAACCAGAAAGAGAACAATCTTCCATGTGCAGGTTCACTCCATAAATGGCCACAACAGTCAGGGTTGGACCAGTCTAAAATCAATTAGAGCCCGGAATTCCATCTGGGTCTCCCACATGGATGCCAGCGGCCCAGGTACTTAACCATACAGCAGGCTTGCGTTCTGACAGACTCTCTGCCTCTGATATGATGGTCTTCAAACACCGCAGCTGGCACCTGTGTCCTCTGCCCTGGAATTCAGAAACTGGAAAATTGTAAACACTCCATCCCCAGCTTTAACATGTAAGAGGACAGGAAGGTCAGTCGTTTGTGCTATCAAACATTTTAAAGAGTGAAGCTGTCGCCTCCATGAGAAGGCAATAGAGCACATCTTCCCACATTTATCAGGGAAGCAACACATTTCCCAGCTTGAGCACACCCCATGTTTATAGCTGGTCTCAGGGGAACCAGGTAAAGACATTTTCTCTTGCTCTCCAATGGAACAGATGAAAATAACTTTCTTTTCTTCCTTCCTTGTCTCTCTCTAAGAGAGAGAGAGAGAAAATCTTTCATTCATTGGTTCACTCTTCAAAGGCTCAGAAGCCAGAGCTGGACTGGTCTGAAGCTAGGAGCCAGGAGCTTCTTTCACGTCTTCTCGATGAATACAGGGGCCTGAGGCCTTGGGTCATCTTCCACTGCTTTCCCAGGTCACTAGCAGGAAGTTGGGTTGGAAATGGAGCAGCCAGTACTCAAAGTGGCATCTACATGAATGCCAACACTGCAGGTGGAGGACTACTTTGATATGCTACCGCACTGGACCTAGAAGTGATTTTCTACTGAAGATCAGTCATTAGAAAAGGATGTTGTGGTATAGCTAGTAAAACCACTGCCTGCAATACCAGTATCCCATACCAGTACTGGTTCATGTCCCCCAGCTGCTCTACTTTCAATACAGGTCCCAACTAACGTCCTGGGAAATGCATGAGAAGATGGTCAAAGTGTGTTATGCAGTGAATGGAAAACCTCTCTCTCTCTCCCTCTCTCTCTCTCTCTCTCTCACACACACACACACACATACACACTTTCTCCCAAATAATACATAAATATTTCAAAGAAAAAAGGTCAATCACTAGCCCCTATCTCCACCTAGACACCATTTGGCCATTCAATGTATTCAATGTAACCCAGAGTAGATGCAATGAAGTGAAACCCAGAGTCCATATCTGTTGTATTTCAAAGCCTACTCCAAGATGGCTGGGACATCCCAAGGGACATGCAGCTTTCAGCCATCTCTGCTCTTAGGTGTCCCTGACCACTTACTGACCAGCTTACTGACTCAGATGTAACATCCAGCTTCATTTTCAGTTTCCAATGCTCAAGGGCATTCATGAAAGGAAAACATCTTATTCTATAGAGTTGGAGGTCACAGAGAGAGGTGAGATTATGCTCCAAGAAAAATGTGCATGACAATATATCAGATGCTTAGAAATTAGCTGCTAATACAGTGGATGCTTTAAAAACCCTGTTAGTAGTCTGATCCACTGTGCTCTTCCCACTCAGCACACAACCATACTTTCTCTCTCTCTTACTCCACTCCCTTCTGCCCCAACTAGGCTGCAGCTCCCACTGCTTTGCATCAGGACCAAGTATGAAGTGGGTAGGATAGAGCTGGACTACAACACCCATTGGTTCAAGTGGAAGACAGGGCTGGAAACAACTGACCCAGCAATTGCAACCACAACACGTGCATAAGTTGATTGGGGCAACAGACTGTGCCAGACCCTGTACTGGCAAACTCACACGACATTCAAGTTTGGGATCATTTCAGATGAAGTTTCTTTAGAGATCCCTCCAACTGAACTGCTGATCTCAGAACCCCAACCATAAAGAGACTATGTCAGCCAGTGGATTCTGAATAGATTTCATCGTGATTGGAATGGCGAGACTGGCAGCAATTCAAACCTGTTGAACTATCAAAACTGCTTGAGCAGGACCCTCGGAGCATGCCTCACATCGGGGACCTGGGATGGGTGGGAGGCTGGGTGGGGCTTTTCCCTTTGTTTCTCCCCTGACCCCAGATACAGGGGAAAAAATATTAGTGTGGAAACAATGGTCTTACCCACTTTCCTGTAGCCCCTGACCCTTTGTACCCTAATCAACTAAGTAAGATTATTTAAAAAAAAAAAATGACCTCAAACAAAGCTATCCTCTAAAGTCATTCTCAGCTCCCAAAATCCAATGACCCCACCATGAAATTATGTTCCTGTTGGGGAAGCCAGGAAGTCCCAGAGTATATACAAGGGCAACACCCTCTCCATGATTCCCACAAAATTCCACTCCTGCCGCAAAGGCCCAAATTTCCTACCTCCTTCCGAGGAATTTACTAGCCCATTCCATTATAAACTAACGTCAAATTTTTCTTGCCAGTCTCTCTCCCTTACTTTCTTTCCACTCTCCCATTCTCAGCTGACCACTTCTGCCCACTGCATATCCGGGTGACAAACATTCTTCGCCAGTTGCATTTAATGGCCACTGTCCACAAGTTCATGCCTGCTGGAAACTGCACTTGCAGAGGCACCTGGGTGAAGGCTGCCTTCCCCAGAGCCCCATCTGTTCAGTGAGGCTTTCCTCTTAGGCAGAGTCACACCAGCAGAGCTGCTGTTGTTGGATGAAGTCGTTGGAGCTGGATTCTGGCCTCACATGCTGCTGAGGTTAGGTTATCGCTTGGCCCACTCTCCAACATTTGTCACATGCCCTTGAGCAACAACAACCACTCGTGTCCAGTGAATGTTTATGTGTCATCAGCTGCTCTTTTTTAGAAAAGTAATTAGAGAGACAATGCTTCCAGGCGTTCTTGCACAGGGCCAGTTACAGAATTCCAACAGAGGACATGAGGAAAGAGTTTCCTACTCCATGCCTCCGTCTTCCCTCCTAACGTGCACAGGCAACGCTGACACATCCTCACTCAGCACGTGAAGCTGCTCCCCGGTGTGGCAGTGGCTTTGAGTTGACCAGCGAGCCACACCCCTCCCCAGAGCTTTGCCACAATGAAAGGTAAGAGTTTCTCAGGTCAGGGATAAATGGATTTTTCAGAACCTGAACTAGGGTGGGAAAAAAATTAAAGGAACATCTGTGTTGTGCTTTTTCACTTTTATGGGTTGGAGTTGCCTCACCTGCCACGTTAGAAAAATGGGAAACTGAATTTGCCGAGCCTGGCGCTCTGGCGCTGGGCTGAGGTCCCTGGCGGTTTGGTTCCAAACAGCAGAGATGGAGGAATGGGGCAACTTAGGGCAAAGTGGCCAATTAACCTCTGGGCAAGGATCCACGCCAAGGAGAACCAGTCCCTCCTGAAAAGGCCTTCTTCCTTCCTGAATGTCTTAAGGCAGCTCCAGCTGCCATGGAGGTGAAATTCAAATTGTTAACAGTACATTACTGAGAGAGGATAAAACGGGGGACAGACAGGCTCTAGGTAGAGGACTGGTGGTGGGGGTGGGATGGGAGGGGGGCAGGGAACAGTCAATGATCTCCACTTCTTCCTTGTCCTGAAGGGATGTGCCCTGGGCTGGTGCTCCACTGCTCTGCAGCAGGTGACTGCACGGGGCATCCTGACCACCGGCCGCCAACCTGACCCTGTTGCAGTCCACGGCACCCTCATGACCCATCCCACACCTATCGCATCCTAGGGCCCTGGGCAGCCACCTGTAGCAGTCACACATCCACCTCTGCATAGAGCACAGGGGACAGACAGGTGACACAGAAAGGAGGCAACAAAGCCTCACACTGGCCCTGCTCCCTGGAAAGCACCCTGACTCATCACAACTGTGCATCTCATCTCACCCTGTCTCACGAGGCCCCGACAGACCTGCTAGCCCCTCACCCCTGAGAAGCGCGCTCCGTGCTGCCCGCCAGCTGGTGATTCCTACACAAGCCTGTCTTCTTCCAACTTCAGCCCTTCACTGTGTCAGGAGGCTCCCGGGCGTGGAGGGGGGCGGTACTGTGTCATGCCTTAGCCTCGTCCTTCCCCCTCCCACTCCCAGCCCATTTGGCCTGGGGATTGTAGCTCAGAAAATGACCTGTGGCAAACAAAGAAACCACAACTGGTTGCAAACAACCCCTGGACACCACCAATGTCCTCCCCCACCACCACCCGCGCAACAACATGCACTTTTGACCTCGGCATGATCTTCTGCTCTCATGGCTCGTTCAGGAAGGAAGTGTGTATGCGCTGAGTGAGTGGGTCCCTTGGGCCGGGGGTCTGCACAGCAGGACGCTGGCCCTCGGATGGCACCCAGAGAGACTGACCAGAACATGCACCCTGCCAGTCCTGCTTCTTTCTTTCCTGCTCAACTCACCTCTGCGGGGGGTGGGATGGGAGGTTTGGGGGAGGTGGAGAAGGTATGTTCCAGGAGGGAACTTTGCTTTTACAAGTCAGAACAGAGAAGTCAAACCCATTTGATTCCCCCAAAGAAATTCGGTGTTTCTTAAAAGAAATATAAAATGAGCGAATAAAACTGAAGCTGGAACCATCCCAGAGACAGTTGAGTTCCACCGTTACAGAAGAACAAAATCCCGTCCCATCACAGGGAGCGCAACAGGCGTGCTAACACCACCAGCGCAGCCCCTAAAGCTGTCACAGGAGAAAGCCACCCACTGACCACACCGCTCCCTCTGGAATCCCCTCTCCCCCTCCTGCCCCACCCTCGGACCCCCGGAAGGACATGTCCCCCCTCTGGACTCTACTGATTGCTGCTCACTATACCTCTCGGCAAGGACGAGATGAGAAGGAGCTGCAGGAACGTGAGCCCCAGCTGTGACCACCAGCCCAGCTCCATCCTTCTCGCGGCTGCGGCAGCGGTGCCGGTGCTGGTGCCAGCGGGTGCCGGAGCTACTGCCGGGAGGGAGAGCAGGGCGCGAGCGCTGCCGGCGGGCAGGCGACTCTTACAGGGACCTCCCCAAGTCCCAGCTGAGCGGGAGCTCGGGTTTCAGCTGGCTGGGCTCTCCCACCCGCAGCCGAGGGGAGCCACCTTCAGCCAGAGCGACGTCAGCCCAAACCTCTGCTCGCAGCTGCCTTAACCCTTGCGCGGCATGAGAAGGCGCAGGGACGGTTATGCCCAAAGATGGGGCTGGAGGGGCAGCTGGAAGGGCAGCTGCGAGACCAGCGCGGTTCCCCAAAAGCTCCCTTTGAGGGAGCAGGAGAGGGAGTGTAGGCAGAAGCACCCCAGATGGGGTGGAGCGAGGCAGGGCTGTGGGACAACACAGGTGAGCTGGGAGTCTGGGATGGGAGCTGATTGTGCAAGCGCTGTCCCCTGATCAGTGCTGTCTAGGCTTCTGTCTAGGCTGGGCTGCTGGTGTCTAGGAGTTGAGGGAATTGGGGAAGAGAGAAGAAAGACACCCCATCCCTGCCCCCAGCACTTTTCCACCCTCAACCTCTCCTTGTCCCTCTCTTATTTCCAGAGGAACGCAGTTTGAAATGGAGAGGATTCAATTTGGTCAGAGCCAGTGGGAAATAGCGGATGCTTATGTATTTACATCATCATTTATATCTACACTCTCCACCAGAAGATCATTAAATTGTATTTCAAGCAGCTGCTTTTTTTTTTAAATAAAATGATACATGTAGATACAGATGCACACTTACAGGACAAAACCATGTGAGCAAAGAAATTCAGCAGAGAATATATAACGTGGATATGTGGTTTGGGTATGGCAAAGAGTGGAGAATGAGTATACATGTGACCAGTGCGTTCCAATTCTATTCTCTACTTTGAGGTGAAGTGGAGGCCTCCTCATGATTTATAAGCAAGGAGTGCTGAAGCAAGGGGTGATGGGCCCAAAGCTGCTTCCAGGAATATCAGCCACTCTGGAGTATTGAAGAAGCCTGGGAGAAGACATGAGCAATGGAAGTGAATGGCAGGATGACAAGGGCAGGAGCTGGACACAGGAGCTCCACTGAGGAAATTTCCACTTAAGTCCTTGCCTGGATCTGGGGCTCACAGTTGTAAAACAACTGGAAGTGAGAACACCACTTCCTGGTTACAGGAGCGTAAGAAAGTTAATTAACTCTCTGAGTGGATTTTCTCATCTGAAAAATGGAAATGTAATCAACTCTACTTTTCTAGATTAGTGAAAGAATTGAGTAAGGTTCAGTAAGGAAGGCCTGAGACACAGTGCCTGAAACAAGCTAAATGCACAGTAAGTATTAATCAATATGTGTATGATCTGTCCTAAGACAGACCCCCACCACATAGCATGGCCTTCTCCCAAGTGAAATATGTGTAAAACAGCACCAAGAATTGCCTCCAAGAGGAGAAAAAGACCAAAGGGCAGATCATATGAGAGGTGGAGAGCAGAGGTCAGTGCTGAATCTGGATGGGCCACTTACTCCCCGTTTTTACTGGGACATGTTATTTCACATATGACTGCCTTATTTTTCTTCATCTTCTACATGGAAAGACGACAGTTTGTGCCCCCACAAGGTTGGTGTTAAGAACTCAGAACAGTGCTTAGAATGTACTAACTACACTGTGAATATTGGTTACTTCTTCCCCCTCCTTTTTTTTCTTTTTCAGAGACATAAAGAGTGCCCATATGCTGATTCACTCCTTAACTGCCCTCAATTGCCAAAGTTGGCCTGAGACTGATAGGAATACAACCCAGGTCTCCCAAATGGAGAATCTAAGAAGGTCATCCAGGCAGGCCACACGGGTGGCAGGAACTCAATTAAATCACAATCACTTGCTGCCTCCCTGGGTTTGCACTGGCAGGGAGCGGGTGTCTGAAGCCACGGTACATACCAAGGCATTCCAATGAGGGTCACGAGCATCATAACCACATTGCTCATGCTCTCCAATGTTAGCTGTTTAGTTAAGCTTATCACCCCCTCCTATCCGTACCTACTACAGACACTTCAGGGGAAAATCAATCACAAGAAAAGCTATGGGTGAAAAAGGCAAAGTGGCATGCCGGGAAGTGGGGAATGATACATGTAATTAAGAATTTACAGACTTAGAATCAGAAGTCAGATGGAATCAAGCCATCCATTTAATTACAAGTCACAATACTTACTACTTTCACATGAAAATGTAAGTCACTAACGGAACCTATACCCATTCAGTGCCACCAGGAGCCTTGTGAGTGCCAACAGTTTCTTAAACTGCAAGGCCTAACTGCTGCAGACCTGCAGCTGTGCAGAACCACACACTGGGGAAGTCAGAAGGCTGGCTGGAGGGAAACTCATCTAGAAACCGAAAGAGGCATCCCAGACATCTGCTAATTAACTATGGTTTCCATTAGTTGCACAAAACAGAAAGGACGAGTCAACCAGGGCCAGAGATGGAGAAGGGCAGCCCTGTGGAAAAGACAAAGGGCCCTTCCACTGGAGCCTACTGTAACCGGCCCCACCATGAACATCACCAGCCTAATGAATCCCGGCTGTTCACCTCGACACCAAGCAGCCGTGTTCTGCCTCCAGGTCTGGCTCAGCTCCACTCCCTTTCCACAGGGAACCAGTCAAGGGGATAGGTGTGTCTGTGGGTCTTTCTCTGGCCACATTCTTTTTGCTCGATGTCATTCTTCATACAAATTGCTGAAAGCCAGCAACTTTCCCTGCTCCATAGTCAATGTGCTTCTGGATAACTCAGGGAATCCCGCTCCCGCTCTTGACTTCCATTTGTATATTTATAAAAGTTGATTTTAAAAAAAAAAAGTCTGGTAGGCAACTGAATTGCCAAACTTTACAAAGAACACTAACAAAATTTCAAACACAGCTCAAGGGACTAGCCAGCTCAAGAGTGAAAAGTGAGCAATTTGGGTAGAGAAGAAAACAAGCAAACAAATTAAAAAAAAAAATAGAATAACTCTGATATAAGGATACAGTGGTACAAAAAAGATACTATGGTCATCAGACCCCAAAAAGATTCTACTGAGCATGTGACTTTGTGTAAAGCTGCTCATCTATAAAGAAGAGGTAATAGTTACTTTATCATGTTAGAGAAGTGATTAAAATGAGGCATAACACTCAACATTGACTATTATTGCAGTTACCTAGCAGCATCTTACCTTGAGGTTTTCAAACAAATCCTCCCTTCAGGTAGTTACTCAAAATTAAACTAAAATCAACACTGTTTTCCAGAGGCCCATAATATAATTTAGTTTGCCACATTGATGGCAGAAACATGTCTGAAACTTAAATTGCCTTACAGACGTGTGTTACCAGTTGGCGGTCTACAGGCAGCGTGTACATTTGCTTAAAGGTAAAACTTGGAGGTTTGTTCTAATTGAAACCAGCCCAGGACCCAGAAAAATCCCCTGAAGAGTCCTCACACTGAATGTCTGGTTCACCCTTGCCAAATCAGCCACTGATTTGTGTATAAAACATCTCTTTCCATGGAAAAGAAATAAAATGGAAATTGTAAAATCTTGTTAGGTAAACATCATTCATTCACTGCTTCAACTCAATGTCTTTGACATGTGTCATTTCAGGTCCTGGAAATGCGGCTATGAATAAAACCTGTGTGGCATCCCAGCCTGCAGAGACACATACCAGACAGCAATGAACATTGAACAAATGTGATGGGCAGCATAAGTGAGGACAAAATGTCCTGAGGGCTTGTAACAAGGGGGCCCAAACTTGTCTAGATTAGAAAACCCTGCTTAAGGAAGTGCCACTGGACTTGAGGCCTAAGGAAAAACAGAAGAGAGAGTAGATGAGTCTGGGCCACATAATTAGGGCACTAGAGATACAGCCAGGCCTTAAAAATCAGGAGCCGTACTAGAAGAATAGCAAGAATCAAGTAGAGGGTAGACAGGGACTTGGTGGGATGCGCACCGCAGACTCGGCTCTTTCTTTTCCCTGTATTCCACAGGAGATAGGTGGCCTGAGTTTAAAGATGGAACTGTGGTTAACGGCAAATGGAGGGTAGCAGTGAGGTAGAGGGCCAGGTGACTCTGGGGTCAGCATTGTGGCACAGCAAGTACAGCTGACACCTGAGATATCAGTATCCCGTACGGATGCTAATTGGAGCCCCAGCCACTCCACTTCTGATCTGGCTTCCTGTTAATGCCCTAGGAAAAGCCCAAGTGCTTAGGCCCTTGTACTCAAGGGAGACCCAGAAGAAGCTCTAGGCTCCTGGCTTGAGCCTGGCCCAACCCCCACCAGTGCCAGCCACTTGGGTAGTGAAACAGTGGACAAAACTCTTCCAAATAAATGAAATTAATTTTTAAAAAGATGACCCTGGTCTAATGCCCATGTGGGTGCTGACTGGTACATGGTGTCTTTCTCCAGGAGCCTCTTGTTCTCTCTCCTGCTCACTCAAATTACGCACTCCAGAAGGCAGCTGCTGTGTTGTAGGAGTGGCCTTATGAAGATTAACAGAAGCTTCCTGCCAGTAGTCATATGAAATAACTATGGAACAGTTATTGCATCCCTGAAGGTAACTACAGGTCTAGCCACTCCTATCCAGCCTCACCCTCTCAGGTTCCTGACTCAGAAACTGCATGAGATAATAATAAACTGTGTTATTTGAAGGTGTCAAATTTGTGACACAGGCTCTTAGTTTATTTGGGCTGCCATAGCAACAGACCGTAGATTGAATGGTTTGTGAACAGCAGGAATGTGTACTGTTCACAGTTCTGGAGGTTGGGAAGGCCAAGACCAAAGCGCCAGCATCTTTCATTTCAAGTGAGGAAGTCCTTCTCTGGATTACAGATGGTGATCTCCAGCTGTTTGATCAGGTGGAGGATCCCGTCAGCCTCTGTTGTGGTCTAAAACTTTGGGCGCCCACCTCAGGATATGGATCATGAGGACAGGGCCCTCCTGAGCAGGATGTGGGCCCTCGCCAAGAG